CCCAGTCTACAACACCACAGGGGTCAAACTCGATTGCATCACAGATTGTGACATATCAAGACTTTTTTGCCTTTGCAGGCCTGCGCATGACATATCCAGTCAGTGGGCTACCAATTTGACAGACCTGTGCAACACAGTCCTTTCAGCAATTCCAAGAAGGCTCCACAACCATTTGCACTACTCGGGTGACCCTAAGTAAACAGATAAATCTCAGAGTGGCCTCATCAACTCTAAAAGAATGCAAATGACCAGCTGTCTGCAAGGAATATAAATCCTTCTATTCCCCACCATCCAGTTATAGCTGAAGAAACTTCTTATATGAGACGCAAAAGTCTTCAAAGTAAAACCAAGTCCAGTTGCCTCTTGAAAAAAAGCATCTTTGGCACAGTTGGGATGAGAATTTTGGTCACTAAGTGATATGGTCAGTAAGCAAGTCATCACATGACTAGACTCAACTTTATAACCATTTCTATCATGTTAAGAAAGTCCCATTAAGTGAATTGCACACAATTAAGCAAATCTGGCTTTCCCAATTGACTGCTTGACAGAAGCAAGGGAGATTGTAGATCATGATCATGTGACTGGAAAGGTGGTGTTATCAATTGTAATTTCAAGAACAGGTCATAGGTGACTTTGTTTCAGCACTGTCATAACTTTTGAACTGCCATTAAATGTTTGTAAGTTGAGATCTATCTGTAACATAACTCAGACAGGTTCTGGCAAATTTTAGCAAAATGAGGGCTTTGTTTATTTTATGTAAGAAATTTCTGAAAGAAATTCAAGAGAGGGATTTTTTTTCCCCCTTAGGTGAAAGACCTTATTTGTGTGATTACCCAGAGTGTGGGAAAGCTTTTGTTCAGAGTGGGCAACTTAAAACACATCAGCGTCTCCATACAGGAGAGAAGCCTTTTGTCTGTGCAGAAAATGGTGAGTCATGAAAAAATTGCTTTCATTCAAACTGCAGTGAATAAATGTCTTGAAAATAAGCCAACAAAATTTCCTAGTTTTCATCTTATTTTACTAGAACCAGATATCCTATGTTTAGCCATGAATAGCTTGGAAAAACATGATAGCCTCTAAGAAATATAGTTTTAAAAACGTACTACGTAATGGGGAAGGGGCAGATTTCATAGATAATCTCCTGTGTTCCTTCAGAAATCAAATTAACTGAGGACAGAAAAATTCCTTATGTGTTTTTGTTTGGGGGGGAGTCTAACTGTATTTCTGACTGATACTTTCTTCAATTAAGGATGTATAAGCAGATTCACACATGCAAACCGCCATTGTCCCAAGCATCCATATGCAAAATTGAGACGAGAAGAACCTACAGATGGACTGAACAAAAAGCAAACTGCAGACAACAAAGCTGTTGCTGAATGGCTGACAAAGTACGTATTTATATAAAAAGCAACATTAAGAATTGAGAGAAATTGAACAGACACTTGTTAACCAACAGTTCTGTATTCTGTGCAACCATGGCCAGGATGCTAATAAAAGCTTCCTATTCTTTATTACCTCAAGGGTCAGATGGGAGAGAGGAGTTGCTTACACTGAAACAATTTTTGTCTTAATTTGGGAACTAGTTGGCAATATTAGTTCAGTAATGGTTTTCTAATGCTCAGTTTTATCTTTATTAACAGGTATTGGGAAATGAGAGAACAACGCACTCCTGTGCTGAAAAATAAATCTATTCATAAGCCTGACCAGGAACAGCAAGATCCCATGGAATATCTTCAGTCTGAAGATGAGGAAGAGGAGGAAAAAAGTACTGCTCATTCATCCCTTTGTAGCCGCCTTCAAGAACAGCGTGAACGCTTACATGGGGCACTGGCACTCATTGAGCTTGCCAACTTGGCTGGAGCCCCACTGCGACAGTAATAGAAGAACTGGAGTTTGGATTAACAAAATGTACTGAATTTTGTTATTTAAACCAATTAGCTTCTGGCATAAGCTATGCACCTTATTGGCTTCCATAGGCTGCTATTATGTAGAATTTATGAAGAATGTTGTTACCCTAGAAAATGGGGTAAAAGAATTGCACTTTTTATATGGTAAAGCTTTTAAAGTATTTTGTAAATAGGAGATTGTATGATGCAGTATGTAACATGATCATCTTATAGAAAGCTAGATTTGCAAGGTTAGGGTGCTTTTAATCACAGTTGCATGGAAGTAAGTCACTGCAACCAGTGAAAATTGCTTCCATAAAAACGGTGTTTAAAGTTGGAATGCCAGTCATTCTTTATTTCAGTTCTCACAAGAAGCACTTTCTGAACCTGTATGGGAATAATGGTACATACATTCAAAGCAAATTAATAGATTTTTTTTAATTGGATGTAATCAGTGAGATGTACCCATGCGGTTTTGAAGATATTTTATCTAATATTACTGACAGATGCTAGAATGTCTTAATTTTATGGCAGAATAGATGAATTGGATAGATTTTCATTTGGAATCTTCTTTGTGACTGCTGACATGGAGGCTGACTTTGCTTTTATGGATAGATACCTTAAAGGTCTTTTGGTTGAGCAGCACTTAACTGTTCCCATTATAAATGTGGGAATATTTGCACATTGTTGGACTCTTCTATAACTGAGTGATTACTCTTGCAAATTCTAGGCATTGTAATAACATCAAATATGGGTTTCAGTCAGAGCTCTTAAACCCTGCAACAATGGCATGTGTGTTTTATTCATGGAAATATTTACAGGGTAAGATTGGTTTTTGAGTATATTTTAGAATTTCACTAGCAAACACTAAAATGTTGCTTCAGAATATTTTCCTGCAGATAGGGTTTGGTTTGAGGTGTTTTATTTTTTATTTTTTTTTTGCGTGATGCCACCTTATTACTTTACCTGAAATTTAAATGCCAGGTTGTTTTCACTAATTGTAGCTTTCAGCAGTAGTTACAACTGTGAGGTGTTTAGGCTATATTATTTCCCTAAGTGAAGATGTAGTACAGCACTTAGTGCTTTTGATCACTTAAAGGAAAACAAAAGTTCCAGTAGTATACATTAGAAATAGTTCTAAGTAATTTATCATATGCCAGATGTGTGCCTTGCTAACTGTGTAAACAATACAAGTGCATTATAGGTTAATTGATTTTAGAAAGAATCAAGGCATCTGGCATAAGAACAAAATCAGTGATATTTATCAAAATAACTTTTTTCAATGATTCAAGCTAGTACTAGATGGTTTTTTCCTTCTAGTTCCAGCTATACTTTCATATCCTAGAATTACATATTAATGTTGGCAAATGGCTGTAAAACCGGAAAGAGTGCAGTTTATACATTTGACATAGTTTTATTTTGGGGGTTGTTAGGTTTTTCTGAAACCTTCATCTTTAAAACAAAGCACTTCAACTTTGACCTTTGGGCTACATTTAAAGTTATATTAAAGCATTTAGAAAATCAATGTAAATTTTGCACTTCATGGAATCCAGTTGATGCCATTATAGGAGTAAATTTATGATTATATTGCCCAGCTATGAAAGTAAGGCCTAGTTTGATGATGTACAAACATTTCCCCATTTCAATATTTTATTTACACTGAATGCATATTGAGAATATGTATTCACTTAAAACACATTCTGCCTAGCTATAGGCAAATCAAGCTGCTTTACCAATTATGTATAAAATACATCTTTGGGCAAAAAAAATCCAGATAACCATTTGTAAAAAGTTGGATTTTTTAAAAATGGAAGTTCAAGAATTCTCTGCTGTGTATGATTCAGCTGTACTTCTGGCATGCTGTAATTCTAATAAGCTTTGAATAAAATGTTGCCTGAATTTTATATCTGTATTCATGGTAATGTCATGAATTCCTTTGCAGTATAGAGATCTTTGGGTATGTTGTAAACTCCTCCCAAATTTCTGGACAAGTCCCTGCAGATTTAACAATTATTTTGATAATTTAATATTTGATAGTGATTTTGTATGAAGAAAATAAATCCTTCAGTTTAAATTTTCATTATGGAAAGCTTTGGACGTATCTCACCATACTCCATTTTTTTTGTAAGTCAATATGCCAAATGTTGATACCATCAATATAAACTGGGATTCTGATGCTTTGTGCTTTATTGTTTTCCTAACTTCTAACTGCATTTGTGTTTTGTACAATATAGACATAGGTTATTTTTAATGGAACTTTTTTCCAAACTGCATTTAATTTAGAATTGGTCTGTATTTGAACTAGGATTTTTATATCATGTAGATTTACATTCAGAATCTGAATTAATCCAGTTTTCTAATTAAGGCAAGTACAGAGTTTTAAATTACTTATAACCATCTATTTACATAAAACCTAGAGCTACCTTAGCAAACAGGTCTCTATCATATGAGCTAATTTATTCATACTTTATCTCAAAACAATGTTTACAACATTTATAATTTATTCAGTGAATCATGATCATGCAAAATAAAACTATGGATTATCAGATTTAACCAATAACTCCCATATCTCATAGCATCTGTGAAGGAATGTAAAGCTGTATTTGGTAAGGCTGTGTTTTGAGTAACCCATTAAAGGGCGAAGAAAAGAGTGAGACATTAATGGGGGACTTGGAGAAGAAGTATAAGAAAGAAACTCCTGTCTTGATTTTGTTTGATATAAGATGGGACAGAGAAAAACTTGGCCAAGCCTTCAAGACTCAATACAGCTACAACAATGAACAATGACATAGCATTAACAGAAGCTCAATATCTGCTTTTTGACTTGGTCTTAAAGGATTGATAACCTTTCAGAGGAAAATAAACAGGAATTACTGTGGCAGTGATCCAACTGAGGTGGAGAAGGAGCAACAAATTTGAACTGGAACCAATGGGGTGTCTGATGTGAAAAACACATTCTGACATTTCTAACAAATGCTAAGATGATGGAGGTGCGGTCATGACCTTCTCTAGCACCAGTAGCTGGTAATAAGATGGCCTTCCCTTATTTTGTTGTGCTAATTTCACATTTGCTGTGGGAAAGAAAAACATTTATTAAAAGATAGGAAATGTACATTTAAAAAAAACTTTCTGAATAGCTGCACTTCCAGTCACCTGATTGAAAACTAATAAAGAGGTTGCTCTGGCAAAAAAAAATGCTTTTATCTGCCTTTTTTCAAACAATGAATTTACTGGAATGTGGTACATGGTAAAACAAAAAAAGTTTGTTTTTCCATAAGAGACCGCTGCTAACAACCACCGGAGCAATTTGCTTCCCTCCCAGTTCTAGATCACCATCAGGCTTAACAAAAGAAGGGTGACCCAAACTCCCAACCATCTTTTTAAGGTGGCAGACAAAGCACCCATGCAAGAATCCTTTCAAGTAACTAGTGTCTGATAGAACGGAGAGAAACGCTGCTTCTGAAAGAGAAAATGTCCTGATTTTGGCTAGCTCAACCTTTCCCAGCTTTTCCCAGTCTTCCGCGTGTAGTGAGACCACAACTTCCAGTTTTCTCAGCAGCAGCGGAGCTGGGGGACACCAGGCTGAAAAAGGGCTGGTCTCGGGGCAGGCTATTGTGACGACTTAACGCTCCCTCTTGTCCTCCATGCTCAAAACGCGGCAAGAAAGCCAGAGCAGCGCAAATCCCCTCAGCTCCACAAGTCGCCCAAGAAACGCGGCTTGCTCCAGGGCGCGGCCGAAGTTTCCCCGCGGCCGCTCGGCTCCGAGGCGTTTTAACGGAAGAAAGGGGGTGTCACGGCCGCGTGGGTGGGGACAGGCAAGCCGGGTGCCAGCTTCTTCCTGTTCGGCCTCGTTTCCTTTAGCGAGGAAGGGCTGAAGTCGCCCTTTGCCTGGCCGGCGGGGATGACCGGCAGAGGGATACCTGTTGCACAGGTGCGAAACGATGAAAGCCGCCAAGAAGCCGGACCAGGAGCCGGTTGCATCTCCCCCTGCCCCGTCCCCCGCGCTGCCCAAGCTGCTCTCCGCCCTTTTCTATGGGACCTGCTCTTTCTGGATCGTTCTGGTAAACAAGACAGTGCTGACGGTGTACAGGTGAGATCAGAGGAGGAAGGCGCTGCCGCGAACCTGTTGGAAAACCGGGCGGTCGGGCTTCAAATCGGCCCACCGTCGACTGGGCAAAGCTACGCCTCCCTTCCCTTCATCCCTGTCTCTGCGGAGGGGGCTTTTCCCACGCGGCGACTTCTAGAAACGCGGTCGCGATTGTGGAATGGTGCGTTGTCTTCGATTCCCGCCTTCAGATAGGTTCCCGCCTCCGACTTTCAGGAAGCGTCTTGGGCTGCTTCCCCGTTTTCTGGAAGATTTCTATGCCCAGCCTCGAAAAGAGAAATACTTATTTACGACTGTCTCCAGCTCTTCCCAAACTGACAGGTGCATTTTTTTTTTAAAAAAAAGTGATTTTGATTGGCGGCCCGAGAAATACGAGCTGCAGTCAGACAGATTCTGGTTCCCAAGGCCACATTCCAAAGTTCTTGCTCAACTCATCATACAGTGGAAGCAGACAGAGGAGAATTGTACATTGAGAATGCATTCTTCAATCACAGTGGTTTAACCAAGGCTTGACTGCCCAGGTCTGAGCTGTAATATTTCAGCTGATGGTAGTGAATAAATAGGTTTACAGTAAATGGATTCTTCTTGCCATCTAGTGGCTGTCTGGAATTTTGTAACCTGTAGACCTTACCAACAGTAAGGGCTTTTGTGATTCAAACAAATGTTTTCATTTAGTTTTACGATTACTTCATTAGATCAATACATTAAACATTAAGCCATTTTATTACTAGTCTGCAATATTATTATTGTAACCCAGAACTAGGATCTTTTCCAGGAAATGTATCTCAAAGTGGTTACAGTTTACCATTAATTGCTCTCAGTGGTGGGATTCAATATTTTTTACTGCCGGTTCTGTGGGTGTGGCTTGGTGGGCGTGGCAGGGGAAGGATTCTGTAAAATCTCCAGTCAGAGGTATTTGCTGGTTCTCTGAACTACTCAAAATTTCTGCTACCGGTTCTCCAGAAATGGTCAGAACCTGCTGAATACCACCTCTGCTTGCTCTGGATCTCAAATGCAGGCCCAGAGTCCTGTGATCAGCCAGGAGGAGAAAAGTAATTTGTGTTGTACATTTGAAAAGTAATTACAAAGTTGAAAATTTCTACACTGAGGCTATAGAAACTGAATGCCAGTGGACCATTAAAAAATCCTGATGTACAAAGTAGCTCTTCTCCAAGCAGAAATATTTTTACTAGCAGAGAGAGAAATCTTTGGAGCCATAATTTTGCAGCTGAGATGGGTGCATCACATCAAACGATCTATGTGCTCGAGAAATATTGTTAACTCTTTATGGGCCTCTAGCAGTTAATTTGATTCTTGTAGTCCGGATCTTGTGGTTCTAATTTCTATTTTAGTGGCTTACCACAACTCATGAATTTGCTGTAATTACTGACAGTTGTAATTCATGATTTATGACTTATTATGGTGTGTAAACCTGGCTTTTTGCACAAATACATTTCAGACATGTTAACCCATCCAATTTATCATCCACATTAAGAGTTTAAGCCCTGCACCTGCAACAAGGATTCAGCAAAGAAGAAAAAAACAACCCAGACTGATTATAACTAACAAATAAGAACTTCAGGTTTGGCAACAAACAGAGATGACTGGATAGCAATACTCCATATGGCCAAAGACCAAGTCCCTTACAAGCCAGGCCATATTTCCAGACAAGTCATAGGAATGCAAGATTATATAGCATATTGTGCTATAGGAGGGCTCTGAGGCCAGTGTAGTTGGATAAGAAATGTGACGTTAATTCTAGCGCCAGTAGATGGAGCCTGCAGGCCTTTAATGAAACAGATTGGCATAAGGAAACAGGTCTATCAAATGGCACATGCATAGAACAGAGAAGAGTAGCTTCTTTGCAGGACAGACTCCGGGAACTGATTAGCAGCAAACATTCATATTATTGGATTTCTATCTTGGTTGTTAGTGGAATATTTGCCACATCATAGTCTGACACTTCACTTGCAGGTTTCTTATTCTTGGCGTTTTTCAGGCTATTTTTATTGCATGGTCTTGTATAGCCTTGATATTCACATGTTTTTTAAATACATTATTTTAAACACTTTATTGTTTTCTCTATTACAGGGGTGTTGAACCCTGACAACTTTTAGACCTGTGGATTTCAACTCTCAGAATTCCCCAGTCCACAAGTCTTAAAAGTTGCCAAGGTTGGATAACCCTGCTCTATTATTTTGTATAATAAGAAATAATAGGCTTGATTTGCTTCTAAAGTGTATATTGTGTGTATTGCGTTACATACAAGTAATCCATATGTGACCGTTGCATTGGATAACCATTTTTTTTGTTTAAACAAGTTGCGGAGATTTAACAATTTAAATGTTGATAGTTTCTGATACGTGCATGTTTGCATATATGCGCCCTTTCTTTCTAAACTGAAATATACAATAAAATCACAGACACACACTAATACATACGTGCATAAACAAATGTCACTTTTATTTTCTTTCTAGATTCCCCTCTCCAATGTTTCTAGGAGTAGGACAGGTATGTTCACAGATAAAAGTGGTAAATATTTCAATTTACAAATATGGGTTTTCCAGGGGTTGAAGGGTGAAATGCAGATGATTTGCTTCCACTTAGGAGAGTTCTCTTTGTTTACACCCCTCTCAAGAGTTTTTATAAAGTAGAATTGTAACAGGGATGGATCATATTCTGGTAACTGAAACTATATTAGTGTTTTGGAAGTTCAGAGAAAAGTAGGTGTTATACAAAGTGAGCACAGTCAAGATTTTCCTTGAGAGAAGGGATTTTTCTTTATTTTTGTAAACAATGCTACTTTAGGATTAACATTTTAAAGCATGCTCTATTTTTTAAAAATCTTCACAGTTGAATGAGAGCACAAAAATGTATGAGAACTCCCATGCAGATCAAACTGGGGTTCTGTGTCCATTGGTGTAGTTTGCAAACTAAACTGCATAGAGGTTATTAAAAACAAACCAAACAGGTCTTCATAACATCGATGTCTATAACCTACAACAGCTGCATATGGAAATGATATGTTGTTGCTGTGTGTGATTGTTTTCTCTCCCTTTTAGATGGTAACCACTATTCTCATCTTATATGTGTCAAAATTAAATAAAATCATTCATTTTCCTGATCTTGACAAAAGCATCCCTAAAAAGGTAAGAATGACTGACTCTTTGCATGGGTTTTAATATTGCCAAGTTTAAAAAAAAGTTCCTAAATTCTATTGGAGCATACACATAATCCAGTTCTGTGCTTATATAATCAAAATGTCAGGGCATTAATTCTCTAAAGTTAATTGGTAGCTACAAGGAGAACTGTACTGCATTTTTCCTAATGTTATTTACTTAGTTAGAAAGAATTCAGTTACTCCAACTAACTCTGCAATGTTTCTTCGAGTTGTTCATCAGCATTTCCCTTATAATACTTATTGAGAAATGCAAAGTAATCAAGTATATTGATTTCTCCACAAGTTATGTTGAATGCCAACCAGTCCATTTCCTTTAGTGTTCAGTCACCAAATTAGAGCTAAATTAAACACGAAATGGTTTTTAATTTTTGTTCTAAATGCAAGGTTTGGGATCTATGGTAATAGTGCTGAAAAGTTATCCTCACCTGTGCCAATGGGATTAGGTTCACACATTTTTTTAAAACGAATCAAAACCATAGAGATCATATTATAGCTGACTCTGTTTGCAGTTGAGGTTCACTCAGCAAGTCATTAAACAAATGATGAGTGAGTAACCTGTCTCATGCCTGGGATTTTATTTTTCCTTGTGGTGATATCATGGGCCATAAGGCTCACAACTGGGAAAGTCGCAATGTCATTGAAGTGGGAGAGCTGCAGTTTCCACATCTGTGTGAGTAAGTTTAAGCAACAAAATTAGAGAAGTTTGGGGCAATGGGTTAAAGCCCAGCCCTTTTAAACATCCATCATAAACATTGCACACATGTAAAAAGAGGTGGGGCCATTTTCCGGTGAAAGGAAATCTAGCATGTTTGGAAGCAACCCTCCTCACCAAGGACTAAGTGTTTGCAGGCATGGTGTAAGAGTTTAAAGTCTGAAAGTGGGATGGGGGCCCTTTTGGGGTGAGAGGAAAAAGAAGATGAAGAGATGAACACAAGCTGAAGCAAAACAAAGGGTGGAAGAAACAGCTGTAGGCCTTCTTTGTTCATGCCTGCCAAACTCCCCTGACCCTTCAAAGAGGCCTAGCCTTGAAACAGCTCCTTTCCTTGGCTCAGAACAAGGCTCTTCCCTACAAAAGCGGTGCCAGCTGGATATCAAGTAAGGCAGCTCTTGCCAAGGTAAAGGATTGCCCACGCTTTCTCAGCCTAGGCTGCCTCCACAGACTTGCCAGGGTGGGAGAAACCACAGGAATACATTCCTATTGCAAGATACTTAGTCCCTTCATTTGTTGAAAGTTCACGTAGTTATTTGACCAACTGAAGCTTCAAAGGAGACAGCATTTGTTGTAAAGCTTTGTCCTTGAAAGCTTAAAAGGGCAAGTGTGAATCAATCTTCCTTTTCCTTGGTGGATATTTGCTTTTGGCACTTGCAAATTCTCTACATTAAGGAGTCACTGCCACTCATTTTACCCTTACAGGGGAATTTGGATGGTACAATTGCTAGATTCTTTCCATGGATGATGATTATTGTTTTCCATCATGTCCTTTTAAAAATAAACCCAGCGACACATAATATTGCTGTTGCTTTTTGCATGTATGTGAATTGCACAATGATAATTGTTTTTGAATAAAGATCAAAACCACAAAATATTGCAGATTCTGGGATAAAGTGGAGTCTCCAGATATATTGGTTGGGGGGAAAAACTCTGCTAATCTAATATTATGGCTCTTGGGGTTTTGATTCTTGATCAGTTCTACACAACCAAGATGTTTGTGACCATGCAATTATTAGAAAACTCCATTGTTCTCAGTAGATGGGGGCACTTAGTTAAACTTGGTTTATCTCATAAAATAACAATACCAGACTTGTTAGTGCTGAGATGAAGAATCACCAGGAGATCACCAGGCTATTGACAAGGCTGGGAATTGGGAAAAATCATCTGGGTGAAGGAAGTAGAAAACTATTTATCTACTGTTGCTAAGTAAACACCATGGATATAGCCATGTATAGCCATTGTCGTCATGATGGGTTCAATAATTGCATTGATATAAGCAGGAGCAAGGTCATGCAAAGAATCAAATGAGAACAAGTGATGTTCATTTATAAAGCCTGCTAATTTGTCTGTTTCTATTGGTGTTAAAAAGCCTATGGTTTATGAATTAATTTGAATAGATTTCTTCCAGAATGGAGTGAAACGGCATAATCTGAATGGTACATTTTTTTTTATTACAGTTGTTTCCACTTCCTCTGATTTATATTGGAAATCATATAAGTGGATTATCAAGCATAGGCAAGCTAAGGTATAGTAAATTCCAGGTGGTAAACTTAAACTGATAGTTTCTTTTTATTTAATCCTTTGTAAATTTCAATCCCACCCCGCCCAAGACCATTAAAATAGACAATATTTTTGCACAAAAGCATTCTCATCTTGCTTGCCAAAGCATTGCTTTGGACATTCCAGTGTATAAAATAAGTTTATAATGTAAGTGTTGGGCTTAGGAACTAATACCTGTAAAGAGACTTTGCCATTCTACTTTCCATCTTTGTGTTTTGACGTTTTCTTCCTCTCTACTTTTGGTGACTGATGTGTTCTTCATCTTTGACTGCTGAAAGTAGACATTCAAGATGGACATTGATTAAACAATGGGCCTTTCATCGTGTGAAAAATTAGGTGGGGTTGTTAAGAATGTATTGCTTGGGGAGTCTGCTGCCTGAATAGACAACTGCGTGTCATGTAAGAGTTTTATTTGAGTTCGGTCTCATCCCATTGCTTAACAGATTTGTAGGTGAATCACAATGCAAAGGTTTGGATATCTACGTCAGTACATCAAGGAAGCATACCTAAAGCTCTTGAGTATAGCTCAGTAACATGGTATTGAGGATTCTAATGCATGCACTACCCTCATATTTGCTGATCCCATAAGCTTTTGCCAGTTATTTGTTTGATGTCTGGACCATTGCATGCAGCTATGTGGAAATATCTGGAAAGGTTGCTTGCCTTTCTTTTGGGCATGCACTGGTCATTTCGCACTCTGCTGAAAGAAACACACAGTGTGCTCATAAGTATGTGTGATTATTTTAGTTTTTTTGTAACCAGGAATAAGTATTTGGAATTTGCACCCTATGGATTTCTAATTATCTGTTAATCTAATACAGAAATATTAGGACATTCTTCTGTATTAATATGGAAAGGGTTATGCAGCTCCACCTCAGTGATCATGTAGGAATCCCTCTCAGCAAGCGGGCTTCCAGTCCATGTTAAAGAAGACTATCAGTTTCTGACTTGGCTCACCAAAATCTTTTCCATAGCTGCCTCAATTCTCAGCATTTAGATAGCTATTCATGGAAAATGCCATGGAAAAGCTATTCATGGAAAATACCATATCACTGACTACTTGAGAACTAATTTTAATTCAGTTAAAAGGAAATTATTGGAAACAAATTGTATGATACTGATGCCAAGTTTATTTTCTATTTTTTAATTCTTACTTCCAATTATTCTACCGTCTAAACTTTCTTTGGTGTCAGACTGACATTTGGCTTTGCAACTGAGCATTCATTTAGATGCATTCTTAATGTCAGATGAAGCTGAGGATGAACGTAATAAAGATAGATAACCAATCATGAAGGCGTTTGCTACTGACACGAACTGGTCTCACACACACAGATTCATATTCTCAGTCTCTCTCTCTCTCTCTCTCTCTCTCTTTTAATACAGTTTGCCAATGTTTACAGTCCTGAGGAAGTTTACCATTCCTCTTACATTACTGCTGGAAATTATTATTCTTGGGTGAGTATTTGCCTCTCATTTCTTAAATACCACAATGGTTTATCGAGTCACATAATGATCCAGTGTATTTTGTTGACTAATAAGAATTTGAGGAGACATTTTGAACTGCTTAAAATTATTTGGGCAAATAATTTCCAGTCGATGAGTAACAGAAATCTGGAGTCAAAGATTTGAGTTATAGCTTCAGTTCAAGGCATGTTCTCCTTTGTGCCTTTCTTCCCCTGTAGTGTGATATTTTGGTCAAGCCTAATCTTTTTCTTAGCTCTTCTTTTTGCCTTTTCTTCTAAGACACCGTTTTCCTGATTTCTGTTTGGCTACCTTCTTTTTCCTCCTTCTCTTTAGCTACCTTGTCTCTTTCCTGTCCTCATCCTACCATTCTAGATTGCCAAAATTCAGATGTTCCCTAGAGGACAGCAAAGAGTTTTCTATTATATTTCTGAAGGGAATATCTAGTAATCCTGCAGCTGCTCCTCTTCCTTCTTTTGAACACAAGGTCTTCCTTGTCTTCCTCTTCTATCTTTTTTTTTCGTCCTGCATTTTAGAAACTCCAGTACTTTCCCTGTAACTATATGGATATTCTGTTGACCTATAAACAGGCCTCAAAATATTAAAACAGTTTACCCCCCCCAAAAATGTACAAATATTAGTGATAATATGCATGATCTATTGCCTGCTGTCTCTGAGTAACTGAGTTTTTGTTTCAGTTCCTGGGAATCAGTTCTATTGAACTCAATATTTTTCCCTTCTTAGCATTTGACAGCATTTGTGGAGTAAGTTGTTCCACTTTACAGGCAGCCTCAACTTAACAAGTTTGTTTAGTGACAGTTCAAAGTTACAATGCCACTGAAAAAAGGGACTTATGACCATTTTTCACACAACTGTTGCAGCAGCCCCATGGCCACATGATTTACATTTGGATGCTTGATAACTGGTGCATATTTATGATGGTTGCAGTGTCCCAGGGTCATGTGAGCACCATTTGTGACCTTCTGACAAGCAACGTCAATGGGGAAGCCAGATACACTTAAGAGCCATGTTACTAATTTAACAACTGTAGTGATTCACTTAATAGGTGTCGCAAGAAAAGTCATAAAATGGGACAAAACTCACTTAACAAATTTCTCATTTAGCAACATAAATTCTGGACTCAATTGTGGTCACTACCTGTGCTACTTAATCTCTAGGAAATTATAAAAGTGAACACTGACTTTGATTGACCAATTAGTTACTGAATGAGGCTGGATTTATAAGCAGTTGTAGGATTTATGGGGAGTTATATATCAGACTGGGCCATCTAGTTCTGTACTATCTAGTCCTTTCTTAAGAATTCCCTTTTTGGAATGAATTGTGCCAAACTCTTTCTGATATCATTTATTTTTTACAGGAAACGCTTTCCCCTGGGCATTATAATCAGTGTGTTTGCAATCATTTTGGGTGCCTTAATAGCAGCAGGGTAAGATTTTAAAGTTTCCTTCAGAACGCCATTCTTGTTTCTTAACATTGGTGAAAAATAATATTCCTTTGTTGGTCATTGTTTGGAAGAATTAATAGATACGGTAAAATATTTGTACACTGAAGTTTTCTGTAGCAGCCTTCCCCAACCTAGTGTCCTAAAAATAGGTGGCATTTTAACTCCCAGAATTCCCATCTAGCTTGGCCAATTGGCTGGGAGTTCTGGGAGATGTAATCATAGCAGCTTCAGAGAACTATAAAATGGATAAAGGTGTGCTAGATCAACAATGACAGTGATCTGGAAATCTTTTGCAGATGATCTTGACTGTGCTGCAAATCACAAGAACTAACCTGCCATTGACGTTTCTTCAACAAAGATGATCCAAAATGAATTTATGTGACCCTTGCACAGGAGTTCAGAATTTGAAATAATTTCAGCTGGAGAAATTATTCTAGTCTGTCACTTACAGAGGAAGGATGATGGAGTAACTAATCATTAGAATCACAGTGGCCCGAGTCCACAGTTAATTATACTGAAGATCTCACAATAAATCATGCTTTATACAGTATGATAAAAGTGTCCTACTAGATTGGGGAGCAGTAATAACAGGGCCTGGGAGAACTGCAGTTTCTAGTACTTTCCTGCCAAACAAAACAAATATATTTTCAAAGTAATTGAATGTGAAACATAGCCCTGGTGTGCCACAATGGTTAAAGTGCTCTATTGCAGGCAAACTGCCCACAGCCTGGCTCAAAGTTGATTCAGCCTTTAAGGTTGGTAAAATGAGGAGCTAGATTGTTATGCCAATAATGCTTACATTGTAAACCAGAGAATGCTAGGAAGCACTGTGGAACGACATATAAGCTTAAATGCTATTCTTATTGTTATATATTAGAAGGCTATAATATTATTTCTTGATGTGTGTGGTTTGCGCTCATATAGTAAGGTTCTATGGAAATTCCTTCTCTGTTAAGTCTATCCAATATCTTATCCCACTGTAATTTCAATATCCCCATCAAATATTTTACTGTTGGTGTAATTGTTGTTTGCTTAAACTCTATCTGCTTTAAATGGCAAACCAACTTATACGTAATACATTTCACAAAATGGCCAAGTGACATTTATCTAAGCTTCGAATTTTCTCAATGTTTACTTTACAAACAAGATTAGACTGATTTTTTTTCCAGAGTTCTTTCTTTACAATTTATCTCTTGTTTGTAATATGGATACAATTTGGAGAGCAAACAGAATACATCTCTGCAAAGAAAACTGTTGTTTAAATTTATGCTGTTTAAATTAGTCTATATTTCCATATTTTATTTTTCAGATCAGATTTAGCTTTCAGCTTGGAAGGTTATGTTTCTGTTTTGCTCAATGATGTCTTCACAGCAGCAAATGGTGTTTATACCAAACAAAAAATTGACCCTCAGGTAAATTGTGCAGATATTTTATGTGTTCTTCTTTGCACTTTTTAAACATTTTATGTATAGTTTTCATAAAGAGCCACCATCAAGTCTGGAAAAATAGATGTGAAAGTCAATGTAAAATTTAGATGTATAGTTTTCTTAATATCATAAAAAGCCTGATATATTGAAATATCTTTTTTTAAGTATTTGCAGACCAGTTTTTATAAGTGTCTTTTCATAAGGTCCTAAATATTTTACTGTAATATCTGTAAAAAATGTAAAAAATTCTGTAAAAAATCACTCTGTAGCTGATTGCTGAGCTTCACATAAGCAAGGAATACGTAAGCTATGATTTCAGGGCTTTAAAAAGTTGACAAATTGACATTTGAAAGGGAAAAAAATAGTAAATGCACTCAAGTATTTAATTCTTGAAATTATATTTAATTAATGTAATTTGAACTGAATTTGAATGCAAATTTGACCAAGTTTTGTCCTGCCTGAGCCAACTTCTAGAATGTGATTGCCAGTTAAATGTCATAATTGGTTTGAAAAAGATTTTTCAACCCTGGTTTAAGCCAATTGCTATTCTGATAGTTATACCTCATATTTCTAGCCATATATATTGCTTCCACTTGACTAGACATTTATATGGGAAGATACATGCTATTGGTTCTTCTGTTTTAGTTAGGGATAATTAGTTCAGTCATTACCATCCTATTATTCTCCCCCAAATTTCTCACATAAAAACTTATCTGATCAACAGTTTACATTATCCTGGCTTACATGCATTTCAAATAGAATCTTCAAGATTCATTTAATTTATTGGCTTCTATATATGCTACAATAAATATCTCAGTACTGAATCCTCCAGGAACTCCTAAGTAATCATCTATCAAATTTTTAAAAACATATGTATTTGTTTATACAGGAGCTGGGAAGATATGGAGTAATTTTTTATAATGCCTGCTTTATGGTAATTCCTACAGTTCTCATCAGTTTTTTCACTGGGGATTTCCAGCAGGTAAATAGATCTTAAGAACCAATCAGGTACAATATTGCTTTAATTGACTTTGGTCCTAAATATATATTTCTGGAATGATCATTGGGATCCTTTTGCTCATGAAGTAAAAATGTAGGATTTTATCCTCTATGAGGTGATTGATTTTATAACATTACAAGTAAGTATAAGAGATGAAACCTCATTTTGGTGAGTTAGGAACTGAACAGGAGATTAGCAATAGCAATAGCACCTAGACTTATATACTGTTTCAGAGTGTTTTTACAGCCCTCTGTCAGTGGTTTACAAGTCAGCATATTGCCCCAAATAATCTGGGTCCTCATTTTACCAACCTCAGAAGGATGGAAAGCTGAGTCAATCTTGAGCCGGTGAGATTCGAACTGCCAAATTGCAAGCCAGCAATCAGCAAAAGTAGCCTGCAGTACTGCATTTTAACCACTTTGCCACTGCTATCTATCTTTCTATCACTTTTTAACATGATAGAAAGTGACTGATCCAAAGTGGAACTAGAACTCACAATCTCCTGGATTCTAGCCTGATACCTTAACACTATAACAAATTGGCCCCTTCAAACATTACATGGCTACCATTCAATGGCTACCAACCATTTGGGAGTTGGGCCAGTGGGTTGCATGAAGAGCTCTTGGAGGGAAGATCCATACTTTCTTTTTCTTAGCTAAACTAACATTGTTGGACATTACCTAACCCTTCCAATGTCATATGCTCTTTATGGCTACTTGTGAAAGCTGAGGGAATCTGCATGCATGCGTTTTGGCAATTCAGAGAAAAAGAGAGAAAAAGAGAGAAACCCTCAAAATCAATAATTACTGTTTTACAAAGAAAGGAAATATGTAATATGAAGCAGTGCCATCCTGTTGGAGGCCAACAGAACAACACTTGGTGTGGTTCCTAAAGATCAAGCAGATTTTTTTTTCTTAAATTCAATTATGTTTATGAATTGGACTTTTCAATAAATAATTGTAATTTTTTTCTCTCTAAATATATCTAAAATCTTATCTTTTTTATTTGCCACAGGCCACGAATTTCCAGCAGTGGACAAATGTTTTATTTATCTTTCAGTTTCTTCTTTCTTGTGTGCTGGGGTAAGGGATCTTGGGCAAATAATCACGTAATGACTGACATGAGTTTGCATCTTAGCAATCCTTCTGCGTAATTAGCAAAGTAAGATAAGCTAAAAAGAGAGAGATCCAATTGATTCATGCAGTGTTCTCAAAGTTCAGCTTTCGTATCATGCTGCACAACATTTTAAGAACTGTCTCTTTTATTAAAGAGCAAAAATAAATTCCACATGCTTTCTGATTCTTTTTCAGTATAGCTTGCTTTGGGACATTTTCATTTGCCACATCAATGAAATTAGAGCAGGAGACCCTTGATAATGTTGCACGTTTTAAACCCTACAAATCAGGTGATAAATTTCCAGAGGATACTTGATGCCGTATAAAAATGATCGAGTCAGTAGAAGCTCGGTTTTAGTTTGCCTAGTTTTGTATTAGATTTTCAAATGCAGCAGATTTTAGATTATGCTTAAGCTATTTTAAATATGGAAACTCAACATAAAGTAGGGTACTGAGTATCAATGTAGAATTATAGCATATGTAATATGTTTATTTGACAAAAAGCAGGAAACCAAGTTATGCAGTCCTTTTTTTGCTTTTAATGCTAGGTTTCTTCTGATGTATTCTACAGTTCTTTGCAGCCATTATAATTCGGCTCTAACAACTGCAGTAGTTGGTGCTATAAAAGTAAGTAACCAAAAGAAGTTGATATTAGGTAACAAGGGCTAAATGCACACTGTCAATCTAGATTTTTGTTTTGGCTTTAGCATAATGTATGAATCCAGTTATTATGGGTTGTATAGCAAGGTCTATAATTTGGCACTAGGTCTGAACTAGGTTGCTAAGAGTGTTAACCTATAACTATAAATTAACTATAAACCATAGTTAAGAAGTACACATGTAATGTGTGAGCCCAACACCATTAAAACCACCTGCAAAAGATAGTCCTGTGTCTTGACTACAGTTTTAACCTATGACTATGAATGTCTTGGTGGCAGTTTTGTAGAATGTTCCCTATCACAAGTACTGGGGACATATAAAAATGTTTCTAAAAAGGCCAGGAATAATTTATCCAATTATATTCAGCTTAATGTTACTTGCAGAATCATTTTTATCAAGTGATGAGGTTAGACCCTACTTCAAGACATAGGGATTTGAAACTAGATAGATAATATGGATCAAACAGTGAGATATATTTGCATTCACAGAAATATGAGCCTCTTGGCTCTATACCCAGAGGTTAGGTTGCTTGCCTGGTCCTGTCCTTGGCCTAGTTTCTTATTTACCTTCAAGTTCTCAGATATTCAGATAAATGACTAAAGAGGGCTCAGTACAGAACAGTATAGTAGATTTTCCATCTTCTGCTACCCATGAAGTCAGGCAAGATCAGGATTGTCTTTTTCATAGTTCTTACCTTCTACTTTGTCTAAAGGCATTAGAATACAGCAATAAGATTTGCATGAAATGGTATGGCTTGGTTGGTAGCAATGTATCTACTGCCCCTTTCCTTACCAATTCACCTACTGTGCCTGTTGCTTGTTTACAAGTGTGTTTCCCCAGATGCAGGATAGTCTGCTTTCACCTATAGCAAAACATTGAAATATACCATAGCTGTGTTTTGTGTTTATTCTAGGTTCAGACATGAACAGTAAAGAAATGAAGAATTGCTATTAAGTAGTTAAGGCCTTCAAGAGAAAGGAGTCAGTGGGTGTATTCATGCTAATCATGCTTTATAGCTTATCATTTACAGCAATTACACAACTGCTTTTTCTTTATAGAATGTGTCTGTTGCTTATATTGGCATGCTGTTTGGTGGAGATTACATGTTTAATATGTTGAACTTCATTGGACTCAATATCAGGTAAGGGAGTTTTGAAAGCATGTCATAGTCTCAAGGGAATTCATGGTTTTATTATTGTGTCTATTTTTTTCTTTCCTTCTCTAGCATGGCAGGAGGGCTGAGATATTCATTCTTGGCAATACAGGGACAGAACAATCCTGATTGTCCCTCCGTAGATGAAGAAAAAGCAACTCCAGGTTCCAAGAGCTAACTGAAGCAGACAGCATGAAAAACTCTAAAGATTCCAATTTAGGCAAAGATATGTCCTTGGACAGATGATGTTAATTGAAACATACAAAAATGCACTTGAAAATACCCTTGCTATATTAAAGCAACCTTCAATGTACACAAAACAGCTGGCAAGCTTTTGAGCTTCCAAGAATTGTTCGCGATTAGCGAACCAGTTGTTAACACTGACAGCATCTCACTGAATGTACATAAACTGTACCCAAAGTAGCAACTACAGGCTCCCATTTAGTCTTAGATTCTTTACTTCCACAAATGTTGTGAAATCAAAAGCTGCTTCTGTGTACCTTTTGTTTCATAATCATGAATGGATCTTCCAAATTTCAGCTGTTGAATTAAGTACAAAAAGCCATGAATTACCAACAGATCAGAGAAAAGTCACTTGCGATCCTCTAGAACTACTTAAACTACAGTTAGAGTTAGTGAAAATTCTATTTAGCAGCTTCTGGATTCTCTTCCCTCTATAACAGGGGTGTTAAGGCCCGCGAGCTGCATCCAACCTGTGGGTTGCTTAGATCTGGCCCGTGGGACCAGCTTGGAAATAGCAAAGAACCAGCCCATGGTGCATCTGCTACCAAAATGGGGGGCAGGGGGCCATTTTGGCTGCCAGAATGCTGCTGGAGCCTGTCCAGGCCCAGTACAGGACCCCCGCGCATGGCTCCTTCGTGCCCCATTTTGGCTGCCAGAGTGCTTCCTATGGAGTAAGTTTCTTGATGTGGTATCTCATAGGGTGATCAAGTAGATCAAGTATGTATTAAAAAAAAAACACAGAGAAATAAATGCCTCTCTTTTTATAATAGTATAAAAAGTGTGTGCATGTAACACCCACCATGTCTATGCCTACTCTGGCCATGCCCACCATGACCATGACCATCCTGCCCATGCCCCCCCCACACACACACCTGGCCCTCCAAGATCAAACACAACCCTGATGCGACCCTCAGTGAAATTGAATTTGATACCCCTGCTCTATAACAATGCCTCTCAATCTTGTCAACTTTAACATGGGTTGACTTCAGCTCCCAGAATTCCCCAGCCAGTCAAGCTGAAGATTGCCACCCATTTTAACTCTAGGATCCACCTATCCTAAAGTTGCCAAGGTTGAGAATCATTGCTATATAACATAGGGATTTTAAAAAGGCGATTAGGAACAAGAAATAAAAAACTAATATACCATGAAACAGATGTTTTTTATACTAGAGCAGAGATGGAGAGCCCCTTTATGACTTGTGGACTTCAACCCCCAGAATTTCTGAATCAGCCATGCTGGCTCAGGAATTCTGGGAGGTGGTGCCCTGGTCATAAAAGGGCCATAATTCCCCACCCCTCTCCCTGCATGTGGAAAAATACAAGATATTTTTCTACACACAAAACTGCTGCTCGAAGGAGTTATGAAGTAACTGCATGCACTTTTATCTGCTTAGGTTGGCTTATTATGAGCAAATGTCATAGCATCAAGCTGCTTGTTCTGCTTTTAGGGCCATATTTTTCATTGCTACATTTTTCAGAACTGGTCAGAGACAGACAGGAGAGGCATTGCCATCCAGTTTTCTCAGCTCCGAACATGGGACTCTGGCAAGGATAATGAACTTTCTCTTTTCAAAAAGCAGGCTGTTCAAAAAAAATTCTTCTGTGTATGATCTTTCTATCTTTGCCTCTCTGAACTTGAGAAGGAATCTTACAGTTATAGAACTACTTAATATAAAGAATTGATATGAAGTTGATATATTTTGTAATAAATTATTCTCACTGGGCTATTGGTATTTTTTTATTGTTTCGATCTATGGCCACTCAAGATAAATAAATGGCTTTGACTCAACTTTTGTTTTAAGTGGCCCCCTGTTTTTTTTAAAGTTTTATTGGATTTTTATTTTTAAATATACTTCAGTATCAATACATGAACATTGTGGTCTCTGGGTGTAATTCATTTTGTTACAAACAGCAATAATAATAGTGGTAGTAGTAGTTTAGTTTAGTTTATTGTCATTGCACCTCGTACAACGAAATCAAACACCATCTTCAGTGCACATCATGACCATGACCATGAAAATAAACACAAACACACATCCTTCACCCTGCACACATTGAACCAGAAACCCCCAACACCACACCAACACTGCACTATACAGCAGAATTCAAAAGAGCTACTGCCCTGGGATAGAAGCTGTTTTTCCGCCTATTTGTCCTTGTTTTTATTATTCTGTACCGTCTGCCAGATGGTAATAGTTCAAAAAAAGAATTCCCAGGATGAGATGGATCTTTGAGAATGTTTCGAACTTTCTTAAGGCAGCAGGATCTATAAAGCTCTTCCAAAGACAGGAGAGGACAACCAATGATCTTCTGGGCAATGACATTAACCCTTTGGAGTGCTTTCCTATCTGCCACTGTGCAATTGGCAAACCATGCAGAGGTGCAGTATGTTAAAGTGCTCTCTGTGGTGCAGCAGTAGAAGATCACCAGCAGTTTTTCATTCAGTTGTTTTCTGAGAAGTCTTGGGTAGTATAATCTCTGCTGGGCCCTTTTGACCAGGGCTGCAATGTGCGCACCCCAGGTCAGGCCCTCTTTTAGGGTAACACCCAGAAACTTAAAACTTGCCACTTGCTCCACTTGGTCTCCATTGATAAGCAAGGGCTGGATGTCTGATCTGTTCCTTTTTTTTTTAAACAAGTTTTATTGATTTTACAAACAAACAAACAAAACAAAACATCATTAAACATTAAAAACATAAAACCTCTTTCCATTGTAAATCTTTACAAGGCAGGTAACACATTGCTTTATATCACATACTTATAATTTATCCCATTTCCATATAAACACGTAAATTCCCTTTACCAAATTCCACATTGTTTCTCTTTAATCATTATTCAATCATATTTCCTTTCTAATTTATCTGCTATTCAATCATCACATTTATATTTTCCTCTGGCTTGTTTATAATTGTTCTCATCTAGTCTTCCTCCGAGATTTTATTATTTAATTCTTAATTGAACACACACACATAAGACATAAACATAAAAACATAAAACTTTCTTTTAGAAAGTAATTTGGCCCCAGATTACCTCTTTTTGTATGGACTTCAATTGAATTCATGCTCTTCTTATATACTATTACCTATCTTGTTTACCGTTCTATATCTATTATATAACTCCTCTCCACTTTTGCCTCGTCTTAATTCTGTTTTATATATTTAATCTTGCTTTAAAGAAAAATATTTTTATATCTTTTGTCCATTTCTCCATTTACATCTGTCTCATTTCCAATATAAAAAAGAATAGTTTCCCCTGGAATCACTAATCAGAGTATGATGCCTTTCTATCATTCCCCTAAATTAAAATTTAAAATAACACCTAAATCCCAATCAGATTCTGCTTAGTACATTCTACTATTTCAGAAACCAATACTACAATAATAAATCCATAACAGTCAACACATTAATCCATTAAACTATATTTAAACTAATATTTTAAACATTCTCTTTAGTATTTTATTAAAACTTAAAATCATTCATTATTAAACATTTTAAAGTTATACCTTAATATTTTAGTCTTTTATTAGATCTTAAAAAGTTCTGATTATCTACTTATAATACAAATACCACTATTACAATACTCATGTGTACTTTGCAGAATCCCCCCTTTTTTTAAAAAAAAAAACCCCATACATTACCCATTATCCCTAAAAAAAAATTTCTTTTCTCCATCTTGTTTTATACCTTTGTAACTTTTTCCCCCTTTTCCCTTTCCTTCTTAACCTGCCTAAACTTTTTACCCCCTCCTCTCCAAACCTCTGCCTTCTTGGTTTCCCCTTTCTGTTGCATTCCTCTTTCCTTTTGCTTTCTAGCATTCTGTTGTTTTTGCATCTTCTTTTTCTCTTTCATAAATATTTTTTTTATTTCTTAAGTCCTTCCTTTTCACTCCTCTCTTTCTCCTTTCTTTCTTAGTCACACCATTTAGTTCATTAAAAATGGCTTCTTCTTCCTCGGCTTCTTCCAGCTGTTGTTTAATTTGCTGACACATGACAAGCGCCATATCTAGGAAACAAAGGGCTTTTCCCATAACATCTTTGCCTTCTTTCCTTATTTTTAAATATTGTTTTTTTAGTTCATCAAGAGATAGAGCCATTTTAAACTGTTTCTTCTTCTTTTTCTGTATCCTCTTCTTATTATTAAGCCAATCAGTTATTTCCAAACTTAAAACAGTTCCCCAAAGTCCCAAAATCCCACAATCATCAAACAGTCCAGGCAGAGTACAAACTACTTCTTTTTACAATTTCTCTTCTAGGGGTGAAGTCAAATTAGGGAAAGAAAAAACGTCCAGTCTGTGCTTTAAATCTTTTTTAGAATTAATTTCTATTCTCTTTATCTTCAAGGCATCTCCTCCAGCAAAGTCTTAGAGTAAAAAAAAATTTTTCCAAGCCTCTCCCTTCCCACTTATAACAAAGGAATTTAGGTTTTACCTTCTATTAAAAGGCAGGTTTCCCTTGTCCATTTGTTAATTCCATAAGGGAGGGAGAGTAACTTTCCCTTTTCATCACTTTTCTTCGCCGCTGAAAACATCAATCGGGAACATTGTAGCGTCCAGAAAAAATCCAATACTTTCCCAGGTGTTGAATATGTCCTTAAGGTCCCAGTTCGACCAAGAAAAAACTTTTGTTTTAAAACTCCTTCTTCTTCCTCCTGCACATTCTTTATCCAGTTGCCGGCTTCTTTATGGCGCCCATTAAGACCGCCGCTCCACCGTCTTGAGAGAAGGGGGTTATTGCTGGCTGGGGAGGGGGTTTGCGATACCCCTCAACCCCTGTCCGGATCCCCCCTTTCTTCAGCTGCCCCAACAGGGCAGCCTTAGCCTCCAAATCCGTCAGGATCGGAGGCACCAAGGCGGCTAGCACAGCAGGGATCACAGAGAAAAGCGAATCCCTGCTGTCACCGAAGCCGACAAACCGGAAGCCCCTGATCTGTTCCTTCTATAATCCACTACAAGCTCCTTGGTCTTACTGGTGTTGAGGACCAAGTTGTCTCCACACCAGTCCACCTCATCTCGGTAGGCAGACTCATCCCCTACCCGGAGATAAGTCCCACCACTGTTGTATCATCTGCAAATTTAGCAATAGTATTACTAGCGTAAGTGGGAATGCAGTCATGCACATAAAGAGTATAGACTAAGGGACTCAACACGCAACTCTGTGGTGTACCAGTGTTAAGAATAAGGGCTGAAGAGATATGATTACCTAATCTGATCCTCTGTGAGCTGCCAGACAGGAAATCCATAATCCAAAAGCAGATTGAATTAGAAAGCCCAAGGTCCAGAAGTAGTAGTAGTTGCTGCTGTTATATTAATCAGACTTATATAATCCTAGTATTAATATACATGGTTGTTTTAGAGTAGTTATTCAATATTTCAATGTTTCATTTCAATGCCAATGATATAAGCATGCATAATAATTCACCATCTTTCAACCTCTGATCTTTTCCATCTAATTATTATACTACTATAAATAAAACCATAAAGATGCAGGTATTCATCGCCACCTTTGTTCTAGGCAAGGAGACAACAAGAAATGTCCAGTGAAGACTTGCTAAGAGCATGACAGCAGTTCTTGTGGATGTAAAATACTAAAACAGAGTATTAGCTGTCGATTTTGGAAAAAACCTACTTGAGCACACATCTTTTATAGCATCTTTAGGCTTTGTTAAGAGAAAGTGCTATCACATGTATTTTTGATCTGACATAAAGATTTGTGCATATACAGGATCTATGAAAAGTCAGCTCCAGAGGCCAAGCACAATATAGTTTATCAATTTTATTTCATTTTTCAGAGAAAATGTTAACCATTGTTAGGAATGGTTGAAGGTCATGCATCAAATGAGTAAGGGGTGGTTAGAGGAAAAACCAATGTAACATTTAATATAATTTATATAATAAATTGTCTGAGGGGTTCAGTTTTAGTACACCCTCTGTATATAAGCATATCTGTGCTATATACACACACACACACACACACAACAGGAAGTTCTTGACTTACAACTATTCATTTAGTGACTGTTTGAAGTTATAGTGGGCCCTGAAAAAAGTGGCTTGTGACCCATTTTATGACAGTTATGGCTATTGCAGTATTCTCATGATCAAAATTTGAGTGCTTGACAATTGGCATGTATTTAT